TCCATGGGGAAGACTAGTATTTCCAGAGTAACCTCTTTTGCCTCACACACTGGCAATTCCTAACTTCCAGAAATGACTTTGCTATGAGTTTTATATGTCTCTCTATCCAGGCCATAAGATATTCTTTACACGGTCACGTCTTATTGGGATAAGAAAAGCACAGAATAAATAGGATAGCTACCTAGCCAAAAAGTTGCATTTGAATTCCAGCGGTTTGATACTGCTCTCAGTTTCCTGCTAAGAGAACGACAGGGAGAACCGACTGACCTAAGAAGTAAATCCCGTTTTCTCATTTCCTGTGATATAACTGTATACTCCTCTCAATCATCTTGCAGTCTTCCCAAGATTAGTGTTATTCTCCTACACAGGGCATGCAGATCACACAAACACACCTCATTAACACAGACTTCGTATTTCGCACGCAGACTGCACCTTCATTCTTTTGATCCATCCTGTTTGGGTTTTTTCCCCCCTAATGCTAACGTCAACAATTTGGTCTCTATTTTCATCCTTAATTGCAACTTCTCATTTGCATGGTTAGTTGTACTCAGAACCCACTTCTGCATGGCCTTTATCTTCCTTTATTTTCACTTAAAATTAATTGATAAGCCAAGAACTTGATTTCCACTCTTGCAAGAATATTAAAGGGACCATCTCTACATTACCATTTTTATCATTGCATCTCTGAAACAGCATAATAAAACCAACCTGTGCCAACAATGCCATTTCTCAAAGGACAGATCAAGACCAACTTGTAAAAGACACCAATTCATGACAAAAAAAAAACCCGCCCCCCCACTGCACTACTTGCTTACCAACTGAGAAACTCTACATCACTTCAACTTAAGAATGAGGATAATTCAATTAACTGGTCCAGAAGGACCTCACAAACCCCTCAGTAAAAGATGAGCTGGCCTTTACCTCTCCTTCTATGGAAGTCTCTCCTCATGAAGAATCACTAGATGGACAGATCTAACAGCATTAAATAAACATCCAGGGAAAGCAACACCCACTAACTGAAATATAACACCTGACCTGTCTGGAACATGCAGATATGAACTAACTTTCCCTTCTAGTGATATCACAAGAGAGAAAGCTTAATGAGTAAAGGGCTGGAGTGGAATATGTAGCACCTGGGTTCTCTTCTCAGCTTTCCAGCTGACTTGCTGTTGCATCTGAAGCCATGCCATTTCTCTATTTCCACTCCCATCCCTGCTTGTTTTCATTATTAGCTATAAGTATTGCAAAGTAAGAACCACCTTTTACTATGAATTTTTCCAGTCAAACAACTAAGTATACAAAAGCCATGCACGCAGCACAGAGATGATGTATATTTAACGCTATCAGGTTATTTAATACCCTTTAAAGTCTCAACTACAGCTTTACTTACAAAAGGTCCTCTAACAATTTTCCCTGAGAAGTCAAAAAATACAAAGACAGTTGTCAATTTTTTGTAAACCAAAAGGTTCAATTTTCAATATTATTGTGTCTATATGTTAAGGTAATAATGATGCTTGTACATTAACCTACCAGTCATATAATAATTAACCAATTAATTACCATCATAGCAGATATCTTAGAATTATCTTCTAGGTAGATACTTAACATTTTGCAACATGCTTGGGGAAAAAAAAGGAAAAAACAAGAATATACTAAAAACAAAGCTATCTTTCAAATACTTAAACAAAAATGAGACACTACTGCAACTGCCACTGAAAAGAGCAGCAATAAACTTTGCAGTCAAAGGGCCATGAGGTGTGTGTATTCATGGTGTCATTCCCTGAAGAAAGGAACGATACAGAAGATCCAAACCAATCTGTATTGCACGGGACAAGCATACACACACTGGGACAAACGTACACGCTGGAATTACGGACCACAGTAGGACCAGGATAAACACAGCAGGTACAGGTTGCCACAAGTCCATCGGTTATTTTTGTTTACTGATTGAACTGGCCCCTACATCCACCATCAAAATTTAAGCTGGGTGATGGCAAAACTGAGGAAAGAATTAAGCCCAAGAAAACACATACCCAAAAGTGACAGTGTGACACAGAATTTTTTTTTAATTTCTTAAGTGAAATTTCAGATCTCTCTCCTCAGAAAACTGTAACCTAGCACAGCTTGCTTTCATTAGAGAAAGGACATGATGAAGACATGGCTCCATGTGAACAGTGCTGCATATCCAAAATGACTGTAGCCCTTTTCTTCCATCCAGTTTAGCAAGAAACGTTCAGCACTGCACAATGACTTCTCACTTGTTCATTGCTGCAGCAAACGTTTGCTGCAATGTGAACGACATACTGAACATACCACAAACAGTAAAACGATAGCTATTAAAACCAAAAATATCAAACGGACTGGAAAAGCATTTTGACAAGGAGGAAACATTAAACCACATCTTTGTAGCATTTGCTAAATACAGAGGCTCATCATATTTCAGGCCATTCGTATTTAATTGTCCTTTCATCTGAATTTAAGAGCGGTGGATATGAATGCACATCAGGCAGCAGATGAGTCAGATGTTCTGAAGAGGTCCAATCAAGGACACCCCACAACACAAGAGCACTGCATGCATAATGTCTCGCACAACTGACTTCGGCTACAGCCTGAAGTTTCTTTTCAGTGCCTCATCGTATTCCATGGTGGCTATGCACCAAAGCACTGAGAAGAAATAAATAGACCTGCAGTCGCATAATTCAAAAAGTTTAAACACATGAGACTCCAGGAACCTGATGTCCACATACTCTTTTAAAGCTACCAGGAAGACATGCTTAGATTAGCAGATAATTACCTAAAACTCAGGCTTTTGTTCTTCCATTGTTTCAGTTGAAAGGAAAAAAGTGCTCATATTTCGCAAGGTCAATGCTTCCAAATGAGTTTGTCAGATGAAGTCAAACTCACAATGGAATAGGTCACTCACAACACTTCAAAAATCATGTTTTGGAGTGGTAGACGGACACAGACATTTTATCAATTTCAGGACAAAGAAAGGAGAATCCGTGGTCTTTGGTGGAGAAAGCAGGTAAGCCATGGGCATGGAGACAAGGAGCAGCACAGGAGGTTAAATCTACTGTGCTGTCCTTGAGGTAAACTAGTGTGCCTTTTACACTGTCCTCTAATCCTTAGATTAGTGTCTCCATTTTGGTTCTAACAATATTAACTGAAGTGCAGAGGCAATCAGCAGACCACAACTTTGCCAAAAATTCCATTGAATCATTAAAAGTGATTTATAAGAATAGACCATGGATAAAAATCATTAGTTGCAATGCTCAACTGTTAAAACTGGCTCTCTGCATTAAACATGCAAATTGGAATTGTTAATTCAAGGTAAACATGGAAAAGAACTCATCTTCTCTGTATTCCTTTTAATTCAGCTCTCAAATCAAACCTCGTCTCTACAACAAATGGAAAAGGGCATAGCTTGTGTGTAAACGAAAACCAGCTCAGACTCTACGTAGCCTACATACTGCAATTTAATGCATTTTTAAGTATAAATTCTAGCTCTGGCATTATTTTGTAATCTTGAAGTGAAGCAATTTAGGCTCCTATTATCTGCTTTTTCCTTTTCTCATCAACACAGCTCCTCTTAGGGTACAAATGATGCTAGCTCTTGATCACGCTCTTCTTAAATCATCTTCATGCTGTTACCTCTGCAAAGAACGATGCCTGCTCCAGAACACTGCCATTGCTAATCACTCAAATCAGGTCTCTCATAGGTCTATAAGGAGGAATAGCGCTGAGGGCAGCAGAATGAAGATGAGATTGTTTTTCTCTTCCTTTTCAAGGAATATATCTGAATGCATCCTTTTCCTTCACCTTCATGGATCACGCGTCCTGCCAAGCATAAGTTCCCTGTGCAAAAGCTATGGCTGCCTTGGCTTTGTATTGTACGAGAAACGACAGAACTACATGCTTGAGGCACTGCCCAAAGCACAAATGAAAAACAGCGTGAAACAGATTCAACAAAGGTGTTCTCTATAGATATCTAGTGACAAAAGCAGAGACACCCATCTCAAAAGGAGTAAGAAAGCTGTTTTGAGACTCAGTGGAATCAACACTGACTAAACAAATTATTCATTACTGCAGCATCCTGGGCTCTGAAGCTCCACTTCACATCTCTGAGTGCACACATTCACAGAACACTGATGATGGGAAAGGGCAGAGGCTGACTCTTCTAACCAAAGTCTCGCCATGGGGGACTACCAGGAGGCAGAGATGCAGTACGTACATTGCAGCTGAAGCTGTCAACATGTACTTACCCCTTGTGTTTTGACTGCAGGCTACCCCACAGGGAGATGCATACCTTTTGACTGGTTATCTGCCCAGATGGGACCTGCACATTGCCTGCCAACAGGCCAATTGCCATATGCTGCCTCTCAGCCACTAAAAAGCCAAGAAAATGGTTTGTAGGCAGTACAGGTTGCATGTGGTGTCAGACTACAGCAAACAACTTGAGTAAAGTTTTCTTTCTGGTCACCTTTATGCTTGAGGATAAATCATTTTGTATCAAATTAGCCATATGAAAAGAAAGCCTCCAACATCACTCAAAGAGGTTATAAGGTAGAGAAATATTCTAGACGCTGCGGCATTATTATTTATCAGCTAGAGAAAGGCCATTGGCTAAACTGTTAGTGAGGGCACCAGACAAAAGCAGCGCTGCAAATGGGCAGGGTCCCAGCTCATCTGCTAGCCTGTATTGCAGGTGCAACTATCTCCTGCGCACATTGGTATTTGAGAGAACTTGACATCTTCTGCTAATGGTAACTCTGGCTCCACCAAGGAAAAATCAGTTTCTGGATGCAAAAGCCTTTTAAGAAATTTGAAATAATTGAATTGTATTAACTTCTGAGCTCACAGGAAGAGCAGTGAGGGTGTGTGCTGCAGCATTTGAAAAGGTTCTATTAGGAAATTGTTCTGATTATTTTGATGCACCAAAAAAAAAAAGGGGGGGGGGGGGGGGAAAAAAAATACAATAAAATGGTAATTTTCTTCTTTACCTGAGACGCTCCATTTAGGCAAGGCACTGAAATAGGGGTGTTACACAACAGCTCCAAGTGTTGTTCAGATGCTGTGCACGCCTCCTGTCCATCGGGAACCACTGCATGCCTTCCAAGTTGCCCATAGTCTGCTCTGCCCCAGGTGAATACCTTGCCAGTTTCTAAACACAAAACACATTTCAATATTACTTATTCAATAGGTTTCCGGAACATCTGGATACCAATTCAAAACTAGAACAACACTTCTTAATGCATCTTATCTAAAGCTTCAAAAACCTAGTGAAAACTAACTTACTTCTGGGAGCAGCGGAAAAAAATACTAAAACTAGCTAAAGACATATTATGATGTACTTCTATGCAGTTACTCAAACTTCATTAACCTGATTTCTAGCAGAATAAGATCTGTAGGGTGGCCTGGGCTATAAATGAAACCATGTCAGTAAAGCCGCATAACCTGGACATTCTTCATACAATATATACACTTTGCTTATACAAAGGACATATTTTTAGGTTAACAGAAGCACACACAAAACAGCTTATTCTGAAACATAAAAAAGATTCTTCTCTCTTCCCAGTCTTTGCCATAGAGACATCCATCGCTTGTCTCTATGGCAAAGACTGGGAAGAGAGAAGAATCTTATTTAATGTTCAGTTTTTATTTTCCTGATGGGAGTTACCTTCTGTCACAACTTCTGTTAGCAGAGTAACAGCTCTCAGGACAGCAACTGGTTAGTCAGGAACACCACCACACCTGGCATTAAGCACTGGAAATCCACTGGTTTGTTCTCACAGGAATCACACGTTGGGCAAGGAAAGATAACATTAAATGAAATCAGCACTATATGGATCACCCTTCTCTCCACATATTATACTGGGTTCACTGCTGCAGGACTGACACCCAAAAGTCCATTCTCCAGTATGGATAACATAGATAAAGCAATTCTTTTTACCTTTGGTTCACAATATTAAAAAATAAAACAACAAAAAAACCCAAACAAAACCACAACACACTCCCACACACCACACCAAATCAACCACCCAAACCAAAACGCAATCATACTAAGTGACAGCTTTATTTTCTTAATGAATTAACTAGATCTCTTAAGTATGTCATGAAAAGCTGTCCCTTCTGGGCTTCCAATTAAAAAAAGTTATATCCACACAGCATAAGCAGTATGTTCTCAACTCGGTTTTGACTAGAAGCAGCAACCCACATTCCAGCCCAGAAGGAAGCCTGCAATGACCTTGAGGTACATACACACTTCAGCCAAACCTCAAACTCCTCTTCAGAATTGAACTCAAGTCATCAAGTCATAAGCCAAATTATGTGGATTTGAGGAAAATACAATCAAGTCAAGCAAGTCAGCTTCAACACACACAGAGACAGTTCTCCCCTTGTCAGTCAGTACAGATATATCCCACAGAGGGGCTGGGAGCAGGGGGTACCGGTCACACTGCCCAAAGATGACAACTCAGGGTTTTCTTAACACATGCCATGACACAAACCTTCGGAAACCTGAACACCTGCCTTTTACTTTGGGTGCTCTTAAACTGTCTTGAAGGGGACACAGGTGGCCACTGCTGGTTTGTGGAGTTTAAGCTGATAACGTATCTCGTAAATAAACTGGGAATCTCTAACTTCGTATATTTAAACAGACAAGTATATGCATTTTCCTTGGAAATCTGCTAGCAGTGGTATCTTTTACTCCAATCTTTGCAACAGTTTTTCAGATGCATTCTCTCAGTTCACTGATAATGCTTCCTCTGAAATAATTAGGTGATAAAATTAGTTGTCCTTTTCTCTCAAGGGCACAAATATTTCCTTCCTTTGGAGCTTCCTAGCAGTTCAGGGAAAAGTTGAAACTAGCCACATACTAACTTTCAATACAAGTGAGGTCTTTCAATATTGTAACCTCATTTTTTTAGGTTAAGGCATTAAAACAAGTTTCATTAAGAGAACCAGCAGTATACCTTACAGAGATTATGAAAACAGTTTGCAATTTAAAAAGCATGCTTGTTTTGGAGGTAATATATTGACTTTGTAATTTGTATAGATCTCTGCTAAAAACATCTGCAGCTACAAAAATGTTGCAAGAAGTCTCCTACATCAGTATGTTACACAGGAAATTTAAATGTAGACTAAGCTTCAGGCTTTTACATCAGAGCAGGTTACTGCACCTATCCAGAACCCTGTTAGTGGACTGGAAAAAGACAGAAAGGCTGCTCTATCTTGTACCAACTACAGGAACTGAAGCCGAGTTTTATGAAATTCAAAGCCAGAAAGAATTTCTGTAACATCTAGTTAGATCATTACTATACCACAGGCTCTCAAGCACTACCCAGACATTGCTGTATTGATCCCAAGGACCATAGATTAACTAAAGCATTTCCACTCTCAGAAGCCAAAAGCATCAAGTGCCACAGGCAAAAACATCAGCAACCCACAAGCCCTCTGGAAAGGCAAGCCGTCTATTTGGTAATACAGACCCAGATCCTCATGCACAGTCTATAGCACTATCCTGTACACAGGGGCAGCAGAGGTGCCTCTCAAGTCTGACTTTTGGGGAAAAAAATTCTTTCCCCAGCCAAATCTGGTGCTCTGCCTGGACCCAGACATGAACAAGAAACACCAGCCACTCATGTAACAAAAATGATCCTTTGCATCATCACATCAGGGTACTGCTCCACCTTGTCTCAAGTCTTGCCTGCTGCTGGTGTCTGGATTCAGATGCAGGCAATCTAAAATCCCAACACACACCTGACCAGTTACTCACTGAGAAAATAATTTTCCCACCCTGCCAGTGACCAGAAGAAACCAGGGAGCAGCTGGCATGATCACCATCTTGATGACGAGCTGCTAGAGCAAGTTCTGTGCAAAGCAAGCAATTCTGTTCCCCTCTGCCAAGGGCCTGTGAAAGGTGGAGAAAAGTACAACGGTCTACAGCTTCCCCAACTGCAAGATCTCAGCAAAACACCATGACCACCTACTCTGAAGTCAAACTAAACTGCATATGTAATTTCCCCTTATGAATGAAGGACTAGCGAGTCCATCATTTGCCCCAAGCTGCTGCCTCCATGTTTAACTCTTTTTACTTTTCAGAAACCATTCCTCTTTTCAACGGGATTAATTTGTCTAACTACAGTTGCCTAACTACTACTTTATCAATGACTGGAAAAAGCCCCTCTCTCCACTATCAAGTACCTTTTCCATGTGCCAGGGCCTATACAAGTTCGGTCTTTTTTTCTACTACACCATGGGTATTGGTCTCCTTAAGTTTCACTCTGCAATTCTGTTATTGGATCAATTTTTGAGGCCCTACGTTGAAATTGGAACAGTAACACCAAGTTGAAATGGATGTAATAGAACTGGAAACAGTATGATCCCAGTGGTTTTATTCAGCCTTACAAAGGCTTTGAAGTATGCTCATCTCTATTATTACAAATTACTTTAGTAAATTCAGCGGAACTGAAGAACGCAAGCATATTTGAAGGATTAAAACCAGATAGCAATAATGCTTAGCTACAACAAAACACCTTCCATCCACAGATTCGATCTTTTTTCCACTGGACAAGCAAGCACAGAATTACTTACACATGCAAAATCAAACAGAGCCTTTAGAACGTAAACTGTTTCTTCTTACAAACAGAAATAATTGTAATTAACTTGTTTCGCTTATAGTGGCAAAAAGGAAAAAGTTTCAGGTGGTTATTAGTAGGCAAACATGGAAAACATTCATTAAAAAAACTAAAGCCAGATAAATCAATTTTTTGCTTTTAGGAAGAACTTTTTGAATGCCCAAAGCAACCAGTTCCTTTTCAGTGCTCATCAACTCAGTTCTCACTTCTAATCAGCAGAAATTCACTCCCTAGACTTACTCCTGTTTGGTGAGCATTCCCCTTCCCATGCTCAGTCTCCTGCTAATGGTCAATCATTCCTAATTTTCAGCCAAACACATCTGCTTACAGATCCTTTTAAAAAAATTAAATGTCTTTTCTGTGAGAGAACCTAACAGAAGCTGATTTAGAAGTGTCTTCTCTATGAAATACTGATTACATTTTCGGGAGGGGGGGGGAGGGAATCAGTCTCAAGTGGAAATTTCAGGCTGAGGCAAACACCACTGCATGGAAAATTCCAGCCAAAAAGGTTAAAGTCTCGTCAAAATCCTAAGCAAAAGAAAGCACTGAGTTATGACAGAAAGCGTTAAGCAATTGTAATGAGAGGTATTGCTACAGTGCTGCTTATAATATAGACGGTATTTTAAAATGTTCTAAGAATATTTGAGAAAAAGACATTAGTCATACAGAGTAAGGAGGTTGCAGGATGAATTACTTAAGAATGAAGGGTGATATAACAAGGAGTGTTGGTCTAATATTAGAATAGAACAGATTTTAATTATAAGTCAAGAAAACATATACAGTGATGAGTCAACTGGACAGAGTACATCAACCATGGAAGTGGCTGAGGCATCAGAAAATGAGATATTTCATACCAGACTTTATACAGTAAGAGGGCACAAAAGGCAGAAGTTATTTCTACAACTTGTGTGAAAGAAAGAAGCATACAACGTTGGAAAGCTTTTCCAGTTCTTCTAAGATACCAACAATGCTTCCTAAGACCTTGACCTTGCCATTTTCTGAGCACGGAGGCTCCAATTCAATTCCTCAACTGTGAGCATCCACCTTGTCCCAGATGACTTCATTGCAACTGTTCCTTTTTTCAGCAGGCAAATGTTACATCAAATAAAGGCCAGAGAGTTCAATACCGTTTGGAATTAAGGAGTAAGAGATATAATTCATGCATCCTGTGTCAATCCAGTGTACAACTTGAATGAAATGTACAGTACAGGAGTTCAGAGAGCTAGAAGAAAAGGACAGAGGTTGGAAGATTTTTTAAGAAAAACTTCCCAACAGGCCCTTAAGCAAATAGTACTTACAACAGTATGCTACATCATCTGAGATTCTACATGGTCATACAGATCTAGTTTCCTCCTGCTCTTTGAACTGTAAACACAGCAGTCTGTATCAGCGTACGTACAGCAGCAAATCATCTGAAGCACATGCTCACGTCCCTCACGGAATACGGATGCAGGTATGTGCATATTTAAGTGCTTGCAGCACTACACTAGCATTCCACTATCAGAAAGGCTCCTCTGCATTTTCT